TTTTAAAGGTTTTTCCATCCTCCCTGGGGGGTGATTTCTCGCTTTCTGTCTCTATGTCTCTTTTTGTCTGTCTGGCGGGCGCACGTGCCCTATACGAAAACCTCTCCAAAGAAAAAGAAAAGATTTTGGCCATATGGCACGTGTACTCGCTGGAGAGAGATAGAAAGAGACAGTGAGAGGGAAAGTGAGAAATCACTCCCTTGGGGAAGGGCACTCCGCAGTCCTTTCTCCTCTTAGGATTCTGGACACACACATGTGCCTGGCATGATTTTTCATGCACTGGGTCTGGGGCTTGAACCACAGTTGGCCATGATGTGGAGTCCGGCACCTTGACCAGTATGCCACCTGCTGGTCCCTTGAGGTGCTTCTTGGGCCCTAGGGTAGAGCTTGGAGAAAAGCTCAGCTCGGAGAAAAGAAAACAGGCCCCAGAAGTACATGGCCGTGTCCTTTTCAGCTCTGAGACCTGCGAGGGTGAGAGGATATGTTTATAGCCTACGAGAGTAGAACGGGCAGGCCCTGTGGCCTGGTGGTTAAGGGAGCTGGATCCTACATGGCCAGTTGCAGTACCACGCTCGCCCCAGAGGCCTGGAAAACACTGTCCATATGCATGTGAGCCCCAAAGCCTGACAGGATGGAGAAATGGAGGAGGAGGGATTAGGGTGTGACCATGCCCCATCGGGGGTGCTTTCTCCCTCGCTGTCTCTTTCTGGTAAGTATATGTGCCCTCTGGCAATTAAAAAAAAAGTTTATTTCTTTAGTCTGTGAGTAAGAGAAACAGAGAGAGACAGAGAGTCAACCGCCCTGACCGTGTCCTGATACCACAATGCAGCCCCAGCTCCAGCCAGCCCTGGATCACAGGCTCAGGGACGCCTGGCGTGCTCAGGGAGGTCTCTGGACACAAACCCAGAGCCTTCCCATGTGCGTCGGTCTCACAGAGCGTTGTGTTTTACTGCTTGCTACCATTTGCCGTCTCGCTTTGCTAAAGGGTGTGTGCACTCTCTGGAGAGAGACAGAGAAAGACCCCCCCTCCCCGAGGGGATGGCCACACTGCAGTCCCTTCTCTATCCTCCTCTTGGGATTCTGGGCATACTCACACACACTCGTGGCCTGGTTTCCACCAGGTCTGGGACTCAACCATGTAGTGAGCCATGGGGCTCCAGCCACCTTGACCGTCGTGCCACCGTCTGGCTCTATTTTTAAAAATTTTTCTATGGCACACATGTACTCACTGGAGAGAGACAGAGAGAGAAAATGAGAAAGCAGCCCCTTAGGAGGGATGGCCACACCATAATCCTCTCTCTTCGACTCTCCTTTCTGGACTTGGCATGTACACATGTACCCGGCATGTCTTCCAAGTCACAGGGCTTGGGACTTGAACCATACGGTGGCCAAGTGGGAGTTAGCTGCCCTAACCATTAGGCCGTCCGGCTTGTCTATTTTAGGCGGGAATCAGGACAGGTCTCTGCGGAGGCGGCTGGTGCCGTAGCCCTGATCTCAGAGGTTATGCCAGTGAGCAGTGAGTTGTTTCGATTTCCGAATAGGGACAGCAAGGACTATGGCAGGACCCTTGGGCATCTGAGTCAGAAGTTCTTTGAAGTTTGTCTTCCAAGTCTTGGTCTTTTGGTCCTTGACCTCTTTCCTGACCTCTGACCCCATGCCTTATGCCCTTGACCTCTGACCTCTAAGTCTCATCACGTTTTTCTGGGCTACCTCTGGGTCTCTAGAGCTGTGTGTGATACTGCAGCCAGTAGTCATGTGTGACTATTTAAAACGAATGAAATGAGATGAAATGAAACATTCAGTTCCTCAGGCACACCGGCTCGTGTTTGGAGGTCACATGTCACATGCTCAGTAGCCATGAGTGGCCAGTGGTGACGGTGCGGGATGGGACAGATGTGGGACCTTCTGTCACACAGAATGTGTTATTGGACGGCACTGCCTCTCCACCCTGACCTCTGGCCTGATGACCCATCTCTACCGCTGGGTCATTCGTGTTCTACCCTTCAGAACCCTCACATTTCTGCAAATTCTGCACCTCCTGTGTCTTCTTCCCAGTTCTCGAGACCTGGTTTTGGCTCTTTCTGTCATCCTGTGAGATGAATCAGATCCTGAGCACGATGGGCCAGCCCCTAGCGTAGCGGTTCACTTACTCGGGAGTGGGTCCCACGGGGCTGACCACGACTGGAATCCTGGCCTTGCGTGCATGGACGGAGGTGCTCGGTCCTGATGGGAGAAGGCACGGAGGAGAGAGGATCGCAGCCAGGCCACATGCCACTGGGTGGTGCTTTCTCTTTCTCTTTTTGTCTCTCTCCCTCTCTCTCTAGTGAGTGCTTGTACCCTCTAGCAGTAGGCAAAAAAACCCCAAACACGAAACACAAAAGAGCGTGGGCTTCGTGTTTGTTTTTAGCCTGTGTTCAAACCCAGACCGCTGCACCCTGGCTGTGTGACTCTGGGCGGGTCAGTCGATCCCTCTGTGCCTCAGAAAAAAGAATGATTTCATTTAATGTTATTTATTTATTTTAATTTGACCAGACAGGGACAGAAAGAGAGAGAGAGAACCCTCAACCACTATGCCACCTTTCGGCCTCCTTTTTGTTTTTTAAGAATGATTTAATTTGGGGGCGTGGTGGTTAAGGGCACTGGACTCCCATAGGGCCGACCGTGGTTTGAGTCCTGGACCTGGCGGCTTGCTTTCTCACTTTCTCTCTATCTGTCCCTCTCTGGGACATTTTATTTATCACCACTTTTTTTTTTTTAATTTTCTAGGGGCATGTGTGTTCACCAGAGAGATACAGAAAGAGAGGAGGGGAAGAGAAAACAAGCCATCAAGTCTGGAACTCGAACTGCAGTCGGCCATGTGGGAGTCCAGCGCCTTAACCACCACGCCACCTGCTGCACCCCCCCCCCTTTATTGCCATAAGGCAGGTACACACTCACTGGAAAGACAGAGAGAGACAGTGAGAGGGAAAGCGAGAAATCACTCCTGGGGGGGATGGCCATGTTGCACACCCTTCTTTTCCATCTTCCCCATGGGATTCTGGGCATGCATGCACACGTGCCCGGCATAAATTTCAAACTGCTGGCTCTGGGACTCGATCAGCAGTCAGCCATGTGGGAGTCCAGCGACGTAAGAAGTATGCCACCTGCCGGCCCCTCTCAGTTCGCTTTGTGCAACAAGAAGAGCAGTCATTGCCCTCACCGCATAGGCTGTGAGGCTCCAGTGCAGCCGCACGCAGTGCTTGCAGGGGCTTGGGCTTGCCGCGACCCTGAGCGCACGTCGGCTTTCTGCCTTGTGACCCTGGCTTCCTTTCTCCTCAGCGTGAAGCCGTTCTCCCAGACGTCATTCTCTTTGTCACTGACTCCCCCTTCTACTGACCTCCCAGGTAAGAGCCTGCTCTCCACGCGGCCTCAGTCTTCCCTTCAACTTTCCATTCATGAGTGCACACGTTCTCACAGGCCCAGCTCTGAGGCAGGGCGTGTGCTGAGGGCTGGACAGGTGAGTGCCTGAATTAGCGAGTTAAGAGCATACGGGGCACACGTCTAGTCCCAGGTACTCTGGAGGGTCGGGTAGGAGAAGCACATGTTCAAAGCCAGCCTGGGCAACCCAGTGAGACCTGTCTAGTGGGGGGTGGGGGACGAGTATGGCCTTTAGCCAGACACACTGGGTTTGTGTTCTGCCACCTGCTGCAGTAGCTACGAGACCTTGGGGAGGTGGATTATTCGAGATTCTCTCAGGTAGAAGTGATAGAAACTCAAATCCAGGCAGCCGAGGCAAAGGGAAAAAAAGAAAAGAAAAGATGAAGAATTTATCTGTTCACGTAACTGATAGTCCAGAAACATGCCTTCAGGCATGGCTGGATCCAGGGCTCAAGTGGTAGCAGCAGAACTTGCTTTGATCTGCTTTTCTTCTGCGGTGGTTTCATTCCCAGGCAGCCTCTTGCTTATCTGGCAGCGGAGAGGGCTTCCAGAAATCCAGGCTGATGTGATCTTAGAACACATGTCAGTGAAAGAGGGGATCTCTTGCTCCATCAGGGCCCATCAGTTCATGAGTCAGGAACGCTTCTACCGGAAAGAGTAGTGCCTTAAGTAGTAGAGGCTTCAGCGAGTCCACGTTACCAGAAGTCCGGCAGCTCGGTGACATTAGGCCAGCCTGGCATCTCTGTAGTCCCCTTGGCTTCTCTTATTGTCCCAAGAGGTCTGTTGCGACTCCAGGTATCACAGCCCAAGCAGGACTCGGCCAGGGCCAAAAGCTTCCTCCTCCCAAAGTTCTGTCTTTTTCATTCAGGAAGAAACTCCTTCCCAGAAGCCCCCCAGCAGATTTCCCCTAACGTCTCATTGGCCAGGACTGTGTCACATGGCCACCTCTAGCTGCAAGGGAGGCTGGGAAAGTGAGTATTTAGCTTTTTCAGCTTCTAAGTGGAGGCAGGCAAGACAGATCAGTGCCTGATACATTCAATAAATGTTAGCAATTGTTATTGTTCTCTCTTCTCTCCCTCTAGGGTACGAGCCCCCCCAAGCCCTCTCGCCCTTGCCCCCACCTGCCCCATCACCCCCAGCCTGGCAGGCTAGGGCTCTGGGCACTGCCCGGTTGCAGCTGGTGGAGTTCTCAGCCTTTGTGGAACCACCGGATGCCGTCGACTCTGTGAGTGGACTGGGGGGAATCGCCCGGGGACTTGGGCATGCAGAGGGTGACAGGAGGAAGGTGAGAGGTGGTGGTTCTCCAGCTCTGGCATGCATTGGCATCATCTGGAAGGCCTGTGGAAACAGACTGTTGGGCCCCATCCCAGGATTTCTGATTCACCAGATCTGACATGGGCCTTGAGATTTCTTTTTTTTTTTTTTGGAGGCTTTTTACTATAGGGCGTTTGTGCTCGCCAGAAAGACAGAGAGAGACAGAGAGATAGAAAGTGAGAAATCACCCCGCCAGGGAGGATGGCCACACCACAATCCCTTCTCCTCCATTCTCCTCTTGGGATCTTGGGCATGCACGCACACGTGCCCGGCGTGAGTTTAAGCCACCGAGTCTGGGACTCGAACTGCAGTCCACTACATGGGAGTCCAGTGACATAGCCATTATGCCAAGCGCTGGTCCTGGGCCTTGAAAATTTTAACAAACTCCCAGGTGATGTCGATGTGGCCTGTGTGGGCTCCACACTTTGACAGCTACTAGCATACAGGAACTGGAAGGTCATGGGGTCCCCGGCTGGGAAGGTCAGAGACACTCCCCGGACATTGTTCATTTAGTCATCAAATTTTTAAAAAAATTTTATTCGTTATCATTATTTTACTTTATTTTTTGAGGTTGACCAGAGAGAGAGAGAGAGAGTGTGAGAAAGCAAGCTGCTGGGTCCAGGACTTGAACCGCAGTCAGCCATATGGGAGTCCAGCAGCCTTAACCGCCACACCACTTGTTGGTCCCATCAAATGTTTTTGAGTCCCCACTGTCTACCAGCCTTTGTGATGCATATTTTTTTTTTTTTTTTGAGAGGTTTTTGCTATAGGGCGCGTGCGCTCGCCAGACAGACAGAGAGAGACACAGAGACAGAAAGCGAGAAATCACCCCCCAGGGGGGATGGTCACGCCGCAGTCCCTTCTCCTCCATTCTCCTCTCGGGATCTTGGGCACGCACGCACATGCGCCTGGCGTGAGTTCTAAGCCACCGGGTCCGAGACACGAACCGCGGTCGACTACATGGGAGTCCAGCGACATAGCCATTACGCTAACTGCTGGTTCCCCCTGTGATGCATACTAGGAATTTGGGAACACACTTTTTTTTTTTTTTTTTAAGGTTTTGGTCATAGGGCCTGTCATAGCTCGCCAGAGAGACAGAGAGAGAGGGAAAGTGAGAAATCACTCTTGGGGGGATGGCCACACCACAATCCCTTTTCCTCTATTCTCCTGGGACTTTGGCCACACACGCACATGCGCCTGGCGTGATTTTTAAGCCTCAGGGTCTGGGACTCAGACCACGGTTGGCCATGTCTGACACTGTAACCACTGAGCCACCTGCTGGCTCCAAAAAGCAGCTCTCCTTTATGGACTTGAGCTTCTCCTGGGCTTGGATGGAGACAGATGCTGTGTTAGTCAGGCTGAGCTGTGTGTGAGAAGGAACAACACCCAATGTTGGGGTGAACACGCAGCATTTCAATGTGG